CAACAAACATTTTCCTGGTGCTCCTTTGATGTATCGGAGGATCCTCGCAGCAGCACCCCAATGAGAATCATAAGGAGAATCAAGGAACTGACTAGCCGTACTAACAGTGAAAGAAATGTCTGGCCTAGTCACAGTAAGATAATTGAGCTTCCCAATTAGCCTCCGATAATGACCAGGATCAGATAATGGCTCCCCCTGTCCGGGCAATAACTTGACATTGGGATCCATGGGTGTATCAACTGGTTTACACCCCAACATACTAGTCTCTTCTAGGATATCCAAGGCATACTTCCTTTGACAGATAGAAATGCCCTGTCTAGATTGTGCCACCTCAATTCCCAAGAAGTAACGCAGCTTCCCAAGGTCCTTTGTTTGAAATTGACTGAATAAATACTGTTTTAACTAACGAATTCCAACTTGATCACTTCCGGTGAGAATGATGTCATCAACATAGACTAACAAATAGATGCACTTATCAGGAGATGTGATCCTATAAAATACAAAATGGTCAACTTTACTGCGGATTAAGCCAAAAGCTTGAACAACAGAACTGAAGCGACTGAACCATGCTCGAGGAGACTGCTTGAGACCATATAAAGATTTACGAAGTCGGCACACCTTCCCAGACTCCCCTTGAGCAACAATGCCAGGTGGTTGCTCCATGTAAACTTCTTCTTGTAAATCACCATGAAGAAAAGCGTTTTTGATGTCAAGTTGAAGGAGTGGCCAGTGACGAACAACAGCAAGAGCAAGTGTTGAATATCATAGATACAAGAGGAAATGATAGTAATCCTTGTTGTATTAAACTACACAACATTGGTGCTATTATATAGCAAACCAATTGAAGAATACAAAGAGACACGCTCAATGTGGGACTTCTACACTATTAACACTAACACTCCTAACACTCCCTCTCAAGCTGTAGCATATAGATCATATGCTACAAGCTTGATACATAAATAATTCTCCCATTAGGAACCAAAAACAACAATGCTACATCAACGAAATGAAATGACTAAGTACAACAAATCAACTGGAATGACCATCAGTCTGAAGAGCTGATAAAGAGACAGTGCTGGAATGGACATCAGAGCATGGATGGTGCCGGAATTATCATCGGCAAAGACAACTGAGCTGACCAGGACATCAACATCAAGATCCCTCTCAGACATTTCATTTAACAGTTGGTGAGCAGCCTAGTTTACCCTTGACTTTGCTACAAGCTTATTACAAGAAAGACCAAGTAACATAACATCAAAATAAATCTCCTAAATGAGAAACCAAAAATCAACAATGTGCTAAAAATGGCGTCGAAATGAACATCAACATGGAAGATGCTGGAATGATCATCGGCAAAGACAATTGTGCTGGAATGACCATCAGCAACATGGACGGTGCTCCCCCTCAAGAGGAACTTCTAAACAGTGCCGGAATTATCATCGGCAAAGACAATTGTGCTAGAATGACCATCAGCAACATGGACAGTGCTCCCCCTCGAGAGGAACTTCAGTGTCGGAATTAACATCGGCGGAGACAACATCAACAACTTGGACAGTGCTCCCCCTCAAGATGGATGATGAATAGTATAAATACTCCATCTTGGGAAGAAAGAAGATTAAAAAAAAACAAAGAGTCTCTGATGCAAGCATATTTGGATATAAGCACTCACACCCCTTGAATATAAAATAATAATGTTGTGTATTAAGCTAATACAAAGAGTTACAATATACAGAGACCCTAATGGGCTTAAGTGAGAAGCCTAGAGTTACAATAGGAAAAGAATATTTACAGATAAGAAGATAATCTATACAAATCTATATCAAATCTATATATCTAATATTTTCTATTCTAACATAGATGACAGTAAAAGAAATTAATTAAAAAGATTAAATTGAAATTATGAATAAAAATGCAGTTAGGTTTACTTCACCTCCGATCTCCCTTAATTGGTTTAATTACAATTCAATAATATTCTATCTCATGGAAACGAAAAGAAGAAACAACTACAGGAGACGAAGAAGACGTTATAAAAGGGAAAAAAAAGAGGCAGATGAAAAAGAAGCAAATAAGAACAATGAAGAAGAAAGAGAAGGTATTCGGTTAGAAAAACAAATCGAAGAAGAAATTGGAGAATAAAAAATGAAGAAAGAGAAGCACAAGAAGACGAAGAAGATCAAGAGGGTTCTCGAGATTTGCCAAAGGAATCAAAAAAGAGAAGAGCATCTACACCTCGTTGATGATTTAGAAGAGACGATGATGATGGCGCAAGGAGTAGAGGATAAGGAAGCTGTGAGTAACCATATTGGACCTACTGGTGGACGTGTGAGCATTGGGCCGATGAAGGGATGTGTGAATTATTCTCATACGGCCATTACAAATAGAATTGTGAGAAGGGGCAATTCTGAATATAGGCCCCATATTCAGGTTAATAAAACTCGTAATGGGCCATCGGCCATCGGCCCAAATAACATTAACCCATCTTTTATGGTTGGTTTGGTATCAGGAACCCAACATCAAGAAGCGGCGACATCCAGCAATGGGAACGTGAGTATGACTGGCCGAAACCCAACTGTTAATGGAGGAGCACACAGTGCGAGATCCTGGCATTTGTCAACGGAAGAGATGAATAAGAAGTGGTGGAGGAATTTGTGCTTAAGGTGTGATGCTCCTTTCTCGCCGTACCAAAGTTTCCAAAGCTTGGAGCGACGTGTGAGGATCTTGGGTGAAGGTGGGACTAATCTTGAGGAAAAAATCGGATACAAAGATGGAGAGACGGTAGGGAAGGAAGAAATGCTCCAGCTTGCACAGAGAAACAAAGAAAGGGAGAAGGTGAGGATTTAGGTTGGGCCTCCTTTGGGTCAAAAGAGTTTCCGATCCGGAGCAGGAACCGGGTACCACCTGCGTGTAGCTTTGTCCAACAAGGCCAACAATCAGATTGATACATGACCCAATTCCATTAGCAATTTGGGACGCAATGGGCTTAGTGAAATGGGCTCACGTGAAACAGATGGGCCAGGTGGTATGGGGGTCAATGGGTCTGCAATAAACCAACATTCTGATACTAGAGTAGCTAACAATGGTGGGGTCGCAAGAAATCATAACTCTAGCACAAGTGGTGGAGGAGGAAAGGCTTGATTTTGTAGTCTCGCACCAAGGAGCTTAGCGACAGGCAGCAACGCATCCTCTGCGTTAGGGGGGATGCGCTCTTTCTCCCATACCACTTGTGCCAAACCCAATAGCTCCACATGATGTTCTTAGGGATTGGGGAACCTGAACCAGAATAGTTGAAGTTGAGGGGCGAGGAATTGAGGCTTCCAATGTGGTCTAGGTGCTTCAAGCAATGGGATCCTGGTGGCAGTTCTATCACATCGTTTATCCTCTTTCTTGACCTTGAGGACATGGTGAGTTTTGGAGGGAGAGTATTGATTGGCCTGAAAAGTGGTGAGTGGGTTAGGTAGTTAGTTCTAGAATATTCTTGGAGAATAGGATAAAAGGAGGGTGAGTGTATGGAGTAGGGTAGGCATGAATTAAGCGAATATTTGGGGGAATTGGGGATCTCTTGGAACTTAGGTGTATTGGTTCTAAGGGTGAGCTAAGGGTTTTTTGGTTTATTTTTCTGCAATGTGTTTGTAAGGAGCTTGTCTCTTTTATTTTACTTTAATATAATTTTCTGGTTCCATTAGCCTCCAAATGGGGTATTATGGAATTCAACAATAATAGAATTAAGAAAAGATGACTTAATTGAGATGACTAGCCTGCCTTTGTAAAAAAGAGTCCCTTGTCTCAAAAACTGTAATGTGCATGAGATGTTGAATCCTTAAGTAATTCCTGGATGGTAGTACTATATTTTGGGTCAGCCATTACCTCTTCAATCAGCTTCTCTCCATTGTCACATATTGCTGCTGTGATTGCTAAGCATTGAGTTGTAGCTACAGGTTTCCTGGACAACGCATCAGCCGCCCGGTTTTCTCCTCCCTGATTATATAAAATGTCAAAATTGTCTTTTGAGCTTTCTGCCCTCCTTTGTACTTAAAAAAAAATAAAATATCAAAATTGTAGCCCAATAATTTCATGACCCATTTCTGCTGGTCCGGATTGATCAAGCACTGTTGTAACAGAAACTTCAAGCTTTTCTGGTCTCTAGGTACTGTGAAATGCTTTCTCCTCCCTGCTTATATAAAATGTCAAAATTGTCTTTGAGCTTTCTGCCCTCCTTTGTACTTAAGAAAAAAATGTCAAAATGTAGCCCAATAATTTCATGACCCATTTCTGCTGGTCCGGATTGATCAAGCGCTGTTGTAACAGAAACTTCAAGCTTTTCTGGTCTCTAAATACTGTGAAATGCTTTCTCCCCTGACGTGTAAAAGTTCATGCGTGGGAGGCATGACAGGACATGTGTACATAGGAGTTGTGTGCTGAGTGATAGTGGCCTTGTCAGGCGCAGCCGTGTGGGTGGGCTTGATGAGGCCATCCAGCCGGTCAATAATAGGTTACTAAATAGTCATTCCCGGCACAATTCCTAAAAGCAAAATGAAAACAGATATCAGTGTTTCAATAGTCAGCACTAGTCATTGTTGTTACAATAAAAGATTATAATTTGTCCAATTATTATGATATTGCACTTTTTTATAAATTTTTTTTTTAAAAATAGAAAATTGTAGGATGAAGACTAGAATTGCCCAATGGTGTTCAAGTATCAGGCATGCATAATTGTCTGACACCAATACTGTAGGCATTTCAAAGTGTTTGTACTTAGTCAACATTTAAAAATAGGCAGTGTCATTAAGAAGTAAGATGACTTTGAACAGTGGAATGGATAATTCTGATATTGGAAAGAGAGAAATTTTGAAATTCAAATAAATGAATTCATTTTTTTAAATACTTAGTTGAATTGGAATTAAAGATTTTGTGTTTTGACATTCTGATTCAAACTTTTTATGCAAAATTTTAAATGTGTTACACGTTAAAATTTCATAAGAACTAGTGTTTACACCTGACAGGTTCTTCAGCAACCTGAAGCACGCAGACTTGGGGGGCGTGTCATGGGAGGGATCACTCAACGTCTTGCAGCACGCTTTCTGCAGCAAGTACTTCGAGTTCCAACAACAACTTCTACATAGTTTTGTGTCACTCTCAGCAGTTGTAGTCTAGATAAGGCATGCTTACTACTTACATTTCCTTTGTATTTGTTGATTTCTACCCATTAAAAAAGGGTGATTGTTGACTTGGTTCAATTCTTTTTCACAACATCTGAAATATGGCAAAGGAATGAGCATGCAGGAAAATAACAGTTTGATTTTATGATGTTTCACTGGATCTGTTGTAATGCAAGATCTGTCTGCTAAGGATCTGTTTGCAAGTGTGAGAATAGGTTCAGGGGTCTAAGTGTGATATAAGTTCAGCTTCAGCCACACCTGAGAGCAGCTTTCAGCTAACGGGAATAGTGGTAGTGTAAATCTCTGTGTTTTTTGAAGTCTAATAGGCTGATTTGCTAACTACACATGTTGCTAACCATTAGAACACTTAGGATCAATTGGAATCCCATCATTACCTTTTTCATTTTAATGGAGTCTTTCAAATAAAAGGACAAGTTAGGGAAGTATTTATAAATCTTCTTCACTGAAATGTCTCTAATTTGTTTTCCCCGTTATTTTGCTTTCCCATTCAGAGGCTAAGTTATAATACTATCAAAACTTAGAAGATGGAAAACTTTTTGGAAATAGCTAGTAGCTAGTATAACTGAAACCGGTTTGCAGCTAAACAAGACATTAAACTAATTTATAAAAAAGGCGTTGTGGTTTTGTTATGTGCTTCTATAGATGATTTTTAAATCTTCTTATTATATTGTTTTTTTTTTTTTATTCTCATTATGCCTCATTATTTCTATAGAAATTGTCCTACTCCTATTTTCTGCTTATATATTGTGTTAAGAGATAATTTTAAAGTGGAATTTTGCCGAAAAGCAAGTTGATCCTCAGTTTTATGCTCTCGTCATTTACTCTGATGGAATGCAGTCTTGTTTTGCTTGGGAAAGAGAACTGCACATCTCTTTCTCTCTTAACTCACTTATTGCCGACATGAAGTGCTAAACCACATTTCTTTTACTCTGTTTTAAATACATCAAATTCAGAATTGTAAAGAATTCATTTTGAAAAAATGATTTATAGATCCTATCAAAAGTGGTAGCATTTAGAAATGGTGAAATATTTCACATAATATGATTTGTATATGAAATTGAATTCTTAAACTAACATCGTTCCGAACAAGTTTTATAGAAGAAGTCGTTTACAAAATAAAGTGAATTCTCTTATTCTAGGGATTGCAAACAGTTTGGTATGTGAAGATACAAAATGCAAGACCCAACCATGTCCATATTCTAGTTATTAAGTCTTAAGACTGTTGTCTATAGCCATAAACAATTTTTGTAAACTATCTGTAAATTAGTTTTAAGATACTCAATGTAATGTTTAGATATTATTACTGGTTTCGTCGTCATAATTTGAACTTCCATTTTAGTCCATTATTGGTTGACCACTGCTATTCTGCCCTTCCTACTCCTAATCTTTTTGCTTCTTTTCTGTCAGGCTATCGTGAACAGGGAACAGCATTCATAGTACAGCAGGAAAAAATGTAAAGAGTGGATTCTTCCAAAATTGTTTGATTATCTTGTTCGTTTTGGATTCTCTGATTTGTTGTAAAAGATTGAATATGTTATTGATGCCGCTGTCATCATGAACAGCATCAACAGATAAGAATAATATAAGAGAGTATCAATAATTGGAAAGGCATTGCTCTCTCGCACACGTGCTATTTCTTCTTTCTTTTTGACATGCACTCTCTGTTGTTAGTCTGTTATTTGGGTAAAATTAGAGTCAGATATTTAATGCAATTAGAGTCAGATATTTAAGTAAAATAATAGCTTGAATTGCATAATTTCTGATACGGGGTCCAACTAGGGGTCAGTTAGTCTGTGTAATTTGCCAAGGATCATATCTTCATGTTTATGGATGATTGGATATTATCCTCCAATCAGCTGGTGACTTCAAGTGCAAATTTTTTCCCACTCCACTTGAGTGTTCATATATGCATTGATTATGAACATCTACATACATTTGGGGCCATGTTCTTTTCACCATCGATTATGATTACAATCAATACAGATCATAGATGTTTGTGGTTCTGAAATCTGATTATATTAGCTGTTCTATAAAGCTTGTATAATTTGCAATTTTAAATTTCACCAAAAGATAATACTGTAACAGCATGTGTCCAAAAATTAGACTTTATCCTCCTAACTTGGACTTTGTTAAGTGACCATGGTTTTGGCGGCTACACATCTTCCCATGATCACGTGTCTGTCGTATGTTTCACATAGGTTTGTGCCACGTGTCCTGCTTGCCAGTATTGACGGTCGGGGCTCGTTTTGTGCCCCTTAACGCAGGGACACTGAAGCTACGGCCATGCAACTTTGTCTCCTCTGCTGTTCCTAGGAGACTTATTGTTACCGTCTCATTTTTCTAGTGGTGCAACCGTGCAGCAACAGTCATATAAGGAAATACTATGCGTGTTTTGAACTGAACTGAAATTGAGATAAATGAAATGAATGGACTACACTAAATAAGGTTAAATTTGATATACTTAAACTCCCTTATAGTGTAAGTCTTTCCATAGTAGTGTTAACTTCTAAATTCTAATGCAATTCCTCTGTTGGAAGTTTGGTCAAAACGAGTAGATGTTATAATGAATATGCATTTAGAAAAATAATTATCGGACTCCAATAAAATCATGGTTAAATGATATTAAGACGTAAAAGAAGAAACTCTTTAAAAAGAAAAGAGAAATCATTAAAATAGTTCAGTGAAAACTAAAACCGATACAAATACGGTGAGCTTGAAAAAAATTAGATTCTATATGATTTAGTGCGGTATACGAACGAGTCATTTCCATGATTTTTCTTAACTGTGAAAATAATGCAATTAACGATATATATTGTATTTTAAATAATTATTAATTAATATTGATCTGGATAAAATATAATAGGCCGACAAAGGGTAAAAATTCAAAGAATAGGTCCAAACACATACAGGGCCCATGAAATGCGCAATATCTCCATTGCGCGAAAAGAATCCAGAGGCGCAATGGCATCATTGCGTCTAACCACCAAAGACATGACTTAAGAACTAAGAAATAAGTCCATAACACAGCAAGGAACTACCGCACCATAAGCCAATACACTAAAGACAAGCTTCAGCTTGCCACCACTCTACAATGACAGCTTGACATATAAAGGTATAGCCAGAAAGGCACCAGCTGAGAATAGATAAAACTGCAGCCCATAAACGGCTAATCAGAGAACATATCGATTACCAAAGGCGGCATCAGACTTACTATATAAATAAAGGGTACACACCCAGGTACAATGATCTATTTCCACTAAGAATACCTCATAAACCTAGCTTTGATATTGACTTGAGCGTCGAAGTGTCATTGCAGGTACCCCCAGCCAGAGTCATCGCGCCAAGGAAGATCTACATCAATCCACCATATAGCATCCATCACCAGCCCAAGAAGTATATAATCCAACTTGAAGCCTTCACTCTTCAACCATGTGTGATTAGACCCAATACATATTGGTCTGCTTATATTGTATTGGACTGATAAAATATGATTATATAAATTCATTTTTTATGTCACATTTTATTTTTATTGAATTGGTATAGAAATCTAAAAGTGCTTAACTTTTTTTTATTTAGATCATTCTTTATAGTTTATATGTACTTTATGACAATTTTATGGACATTCTCATTTTGTCTAATCATAATTCTTTAAAGAAAAAAATAATAATCTAAGGCTTTTGAAAAATAATCTACACGGATTTAATTCATAAGTTTTACTATTTTCTACTTGAAAAAGAATATAGTTGATATGAACTGAAAATTCAAGATAGGATGGGCCAAATCATACACGATTGAAGGTTGAAGATTGTGGACCTCAAGGCTATTGTTAGGTGGACTAGGCTTCTCCTTTAATGTGGTAGCTTTGGCGCAATGGAAGTGACTGGGGTGGATACCTGAAAAGACACTTTGACACTCAAGTCAGTATTAATACGAGGTGTATAATGTTTAACTAAGAGATGATGTACCTGATTTTGTACCCTCTGTATCTATAGTATGCTAGGTGTCATCTCTTCTTATTGGTGATTAGGGTGGTTGCCCTTCTGTCACAGTTGGTGCCTTTCTAGCTATTCCTTGATGAACAAGTTTGATCCTAATTTGTTTTATTAGAGTAGTGGTAAGTTAGAGTTGTCCTATCTTTACTGCCTTTTATGCGTGGTGGACCTTATCAAATCTCTATGGCCTTCCTTAGTCCTTAAGTTTTATTCTATAGCTTAGTGCGATGGTATGTGCCATGAGGATGATCTGCGTAATGAGGATAATCCACGCAATGAGGACGTTGCACCTATAGCCTCTGAATTCCTCTCGAGCCTCTAACTAACTATTGAGCGTATATTTTATCCGGATCAATCATGATGGCTTGCATCTGTCAAGTGTCAAAATCAATTTGATCCTTCTATATAGTAATCAAATTTGGAATGTCTACTAAAGCTACTTATTAGTAAATTTAGTAGTACGTATAATTGTTTTTTCATACCATCCAAGTTTTTTTTCTTTGTTCCCTTTCATTGCTGTAAGAGTTTCGGGATTGTGCCCGTAATTGTTTATCGTTAGCTACTTTAAGATCACCATCACTTAAAAGCCTTATATAGTATTTGTCGGTTAAATACTAAAATAAAAATAAAAATGATAGGGGCTTGTACAACTAATAAGATAGAATTCATCTAAATTTAAAAAATTTTAGCTGTGTTGCTTCCTTTCTACTACTGTCTCTATCATCTTGATATTAAATGACTTCAGAGAAAGTTTCACGAAAATTTAGAAAATAAATGAGGAGCATTTTCAAGATCTGTTCCTTCCTTTTGGCTTTTAGATTCTATGAACATATACATATCATTAAAGTCAAACAATGGTAAAGACAAAAAGACCTAGGAAGCGGCAAGGGAAAACTATACATATAAGGGCCTGTTTGGTGTGATGTATAAGGCATGATAGTATAAGCTTATACTATACGTTATGACATTTTTCGCTGTTTGGTGTGACCATCGTATAGTATAAGCTTATACAGCATAATTCCTTAATACATCAAAACGATGTATAACTTAATCCAGCCTAAGGGTGAGGGATAAGGCCTGATAAGAGATTGATGTATTAACATCGTTGACCAATGTAATTCTCAAAAATTAATATATTATTTTAATATTAATCTATTAAAATAAAAATTAATTTTTCAATATATTAATTTTTAAAATATTGAATATTTTTATTTTTATAAAAATTAATTTATATTTTGGACACACTGATCAATAAATTTTTATAAAAATCAATATCATATGACATTTTTTGAAGAATTATATAAATTCTTTATTAAAGGATATTTTTATTAAAAATATTTATTTTTATCATATATAGTATTATACAGTGCATTACCAAATACTAGATGATATTATCTTATACAATATATTATTTTATACAATACCGTGCCAAACACTGGATAGTATTAAAATTTAACCAGGTCTTATACAATCAGGCCTTATACTATCAGGTCTTATACTATCAGGCCTTATCCTATACTATGGGACAATTTACAGTTTTAGGAGTGAAGCACTTTTAAGGTTACATAATGCATTCCTTCCCCTTCCCCCGCTTCACTTTTTACTCCCAATCTGGGGACTTATTTTAACCATCCTATCGTTAACATATTGAAGAGGCCTTTGACTTGTGGTACACAAAAATGAATATTAATTTATGAAATAACAATTGTTTTGAGCCTCTAAAACTAATAGTCTTAATAAGTTAGCTGTCCTAAACTCAATCAGTTCTGGACCATCCTATGGATCCGTAGTTTCTAGATGCAATAACTAATAACTAAAGATAAGAGGCAAGTTAAAAAAACAAGAGATAGGATCCCTTATCTCGTGCCTAAGGAATAAACCATGAGACTACTTGTTATATCCCCAACAATCTGAACTCTATAAGAACTCTTCATTTACATATAATTTTTTTATAAATAAAAGGTTAAGCCTATTAGTTACGGACTTTAAATTCTCTACTCTCTCAGCTGTTATTGTACACATACCTCACACCTTTAACTATACACCATTATTATTATGTATGATAGCCCTTACGGTGTCTCAAACTCCTGCGAATGTACTGAAGAGAAGTTAGACATTCACAATCCTCTGAATCGATCACAACTAAATATCAAAAGCATTTTCTAGTTCTCGTCCATAATCATTAATCACGCGGCATGTGGTGCAAAATTCACTTCACTGTTCTACTTTGCCTTGGTGGGCAACAAAATTTATAGAAGTCAATTAAATTCTTCAAATATATGTATAAGTGACTGGTGATCTAAGAAGGGGGTTCGGGGCTTCCTACTATATATCCACAATTAGTTTAAGGGATTCTATTTTTTTATGTTGTTAGAGATAATTATCTCTTACTATAGACACATGATGTGGTGGAGCCCACCACCTATTAAAAAAAATGGTGGCACAATTTTTTATGTGAGTGGAAGCTCGTAGCAAGGGGACCATCACCAATGAGCTAAGCTTCTCAATCCGTCTCCTAGCTAATCACTGGGCTAGCTCGAGCCCAAGGGAAGCTCGTGGCGGGGGACCACCACCAATGAGTTAAGTTACTCCAACTGTAGCAAGTGAGTCCA